ATTACACTTTTATTCACTTTGTATCCCCCATAAGCCCCTCCCTCCTCCCCTCCCAATCCCACCCTCCCTCCCCCTTCTTCACGCATGCCCCTCCCCAAGTCCACTGATAGGGGAGGTCCTCCTCTCCTTCTTTCTGATCTTAGTCTATCAGATCACATCAGGAGTGGCTGCATTGTCATCTTCTGTGGCCTGGTAAGGGTGCTCTCCCATTAGGGGAGGTGATCAAAGAGCAGGCCAATCAGATTATGTCAGAGGCAGTCCCTCTTCCCACTGATATGTAACCCACTTGGACACTAAACTGCCATAGGCTACATCTGTGAAGGGGTTCTAGGTTATCAGAACAATTTTATCTGTACCATATCCTGGGTTCTCAATCTATTAATTTTTATTTGATTCAATCTGCCAATTAATCTGAAAAATATTCTTTCAATGCTGCCTTGCTTGGTTTTGATGATACTCAGCTTACTGCTCTTCCTTTAGAGAAATGGGCACTCATTCCTCTTCATCTTGTGCATGAAATCTAGACAGGAAGGCTCTGTCTTAGCTCACTAAGCTGCAAACTATACATCATCAGAGTTAAGAGTTGTGAAGGACCAATATTAATATTGTACTATTGAGGAGTAACGGGATGCCAGAACAAAGATAATAGAAAGTAGACAATTGCCAAAATAGAAATAATGGAAGAAAAATTTCCACATGTGCCGATTGCCTCAGGCAGTCTTCTGTGCCCCCTATAGTAGATGCTTTCAAGCTTAGAGCCTTTTAGAGGGGCTTATGCTTTCCCCAGCATAACTTGAAAGGAATGGCGTTCAGGTAGATTGCTTAGGCATTTACCATAACTTTAAAAATGAAATTAACCAAAGTGATCCATGATTTATTTATGGAAGTCTGAGACAAAAGTTGAGAAATACTAATGCACAGATTTAAGGAATGTATCAGGTACATGCTGCTGTGTAAGCTTTTTTAAATTTTTATTAATTACACTTTGTATCCCCCCTGTACCTCCCTCTCTCCTCCCCTCCCAGTCCCACCCTCCCTCTTCCTCACCCATGTCCCTCTCCCAGTCCACTGATAAGGGAGGTCCTCCTCCCTTTCCCTCTGATCCTAGTCTATCAGGTCTCATCAGGAGTGGCTGTATTGTTTTCTTCTGTGGCCTGGCAAGGCTGCTCCCCTTTCAGGGGGAGGTGCTCAAAGAGCAGGCCAATCAGTTCATGTCAGAGACAGACCCTGTTCCCATTACTATGGTGCCCACTTGGATACTGAACTGCCATAGGCTACCTCTGTGCAGGCGTTCTAGGTTATATCCATGTGTGGTACTTGGTTGGAGTATCAGTTTCAGAAAAGACCCCTGTGCCCAGACTTTTTGGATCTGCTGCTGTCCTTGTGGAGCTCCTGTCCTCTCCAGGTCTTACTATTTTCCACTTCTTTTATAAGATTCCCTGCACTCTGCCCAAAGTTTGGCTGAGTCTCAGCATCTGCCTCGATACCCTGCAGGGCAGAGCCTTTCAGAGGCCCTCTCTGTAGGCTCCTGTCTTGTTCCCTGTGTAAGATTAAGACAATACAGTTTCCAGCTGCAGGACTCTGGAGGCGCTCTCCTGAGTGGTTCTGTCTAGAGTCTCTTCTGACTGGCATTATGAGATGTTCCCATGAGCTGGGCAACAGGCTGGTGCCGAGCCTTGGGTAGTGAAATAGCTGTGCTTAGATTAACTTTCCCTTTGCTCTGTCTTGTGGGATGCTGGCTTCCAGACATGCTCCTTCCAAAGAGAGTTCTGTGATTGAGAAAGACTGAGTGCAGGCCCACAGCTTGGCATGACTGCAGCCATCTGGTTGTAACTTCACCCCAAGACAGAGAAAGCTGTGTAAGACTGATACATGAACTCCATTTAAGTGGATCTACAGTCCTCTGTGCCTTGAGCTGGTCCCTGGGCCTCTTTGTACCTTAGTTTTTTTTATTGCAGTAGTAAGAAAGCCAGAGAAACCTTAAAAAGTGATATTGTAACAACCTAGGGATAATATGTATAAAATACACCAAAAGCATTCATAGTTGGCTATTCAGCAGGTACTCACTGATCTTACACGGGAAAGACACTTTGCCTCCAGAAGATCCCTTGTTCTATGACAGGAAGCCCTCTGTTGTCCAGCTAACATTTGAATGTTTGTTTGTTTTGTTTGTTTACAGAATTTCCTTATTAGGATCCTCAGCAAATCAAGATCTTTGCTATTAAGATCTTGTTTTCTGGTGCTGTGGTATTTCCTTCTTGTTGTCTTCTCTCTTTTCATTACTTTGCTTACCTGCTTTCCCAGTTCTTCTTTCAACCTAAGGAGCTGCTTAAGCTTAAGGAGATATATAGGAAAGAAAACAGGAAAGCAAATGTAAGAAGGCAGACCACTGGGGTCCCAGGCAGTTCTGTGCCAGATGTCTCCTGTCTTTTCTATCTACATGCTTAGAGTCAGCCTTCAGACCCCTGGCTCCACCTCTCTGGACTCCTGCAGGTTATCTGGCTTTCCTGGTGATGCAGGCCTTTTTTTTATCATCCCACAGACAGGTGGGTGAATGCATATTGTTTTCATTATGGTCCTAACAAGCTATTGTTTCTTCAGTTCTGAATGGTAACTGGTAGGATTCTGGCACTTCATTCAACTCAGAACATAGAAAATCACATTATATCTATCCACAGATTTCTCAATCCCTTTTAGTCCTCAATGGATGCTATACGTGGGACAGCAGTGAGAGCCATTTCTGGGTTCATGATTAACTTATCAGTTCTGCTCTCCTTCTTAGCCTGTCCCCTCCACATGTGCTCTGAGTGTCTGCATAGCCCATTTCTCTTTCCAAGCCTTCTTAGCTGTCCTTCTTTTTCCATTCTTCTTGATTCTTTCCTGATAGCAGAGAAAGGCAGGGAAAAAGAAAAGGAGCCAGGAGGTGGGCACAAGTGAGTGAACCATCCCCCTTCCCTGCACTGTTGTGACTTACCAAGGACTTTTGTCAGAACTGAAAATCTCGAAATGTGCCAGATAGAAATGGAAAATGGTGTTGGGGAGCAAGAACAGATGTTTTCCTTCAGAACGGGGAAAACCAAGGAGTTGATTTCCTTCGACTTCGTTTGTTCCCTCCTCTTTGGTTTTAGATGGAGCCAACATGAAATAAACAGTCCGAGCTACACTTCCTGCTGCCTCTGTACTGTATGACCTTTCTAAAACCAGGGAATTCCAGAATTCCCAAACCACGGGCCTCAGGAGGAGGGACGAACTGCTCCTCCCATGTCATTAGTTCTTTGAGAGTTTTTATATTTTGGACATATTTACCGCCAATTCCTCCCAGATCCACCTTCTCTCCTTTCCCTATCCACACAACATTGTGTCCTCTTAGAAAAAAAAAAGAAAAACAAAATCTGAAAACCATTAAGCACAGTTTGATGTCGTGCCCTTTACCCTTGGTGTGTAGCCTTCCCCAGGAGGGTGATCAGCCTCCCAGGGTCCTCACCTTTAGGAAGACTGACTTTCCCTCTCTCCCCCTCCCCCACCCCAGCAGCTGTCCTTAGCCAGGGGTGGGGCTTCTGGTCCACCTCCCCTCCATGCTGGACCTTCCTCTGGCTTGAGCTCACAGAGTAGCATGTACTCCACCACAGCCTCCGTGAGCTCGTATGTGCAACTGCCTGGTTGTAGCTGTAAAACATCACTCTGTTGTGATCATCCACTGTCCCTGGCTCTTAAAATCATCTTTCTGAGCCAGACACAGTAGGGCGCACCTGCCATCCCAGCACTCAGGAAGGCAGAGGCCGTCAGATCTCTGTGAGTTCAAGGCCAGCCTGGTCTACAAAGCTGGTCCAGGACAACCAAGGCTACACAGAGAAACTCTGGCTCAACAAACAAACAAATTAAAAACAACAACAAATGCATTTGGAGTAGAATTGAGCATTCTGAAGTCTCTCATTTTGTACAGCTTGACCAACTGTTGTTTTGTTTTGTTTTTCTTCTTCTTCTTCTTCTTCTTCTTCTTCTTCTTCTTCTTCTTCTT